CTGACATTGCTTCTCTTCAATAATTTGAAAAGGTCCCTAATTGCAGATTTTCCCAGTGCAATGCATCTCCTTATTTCCTAACTGCTGGTACCAAGGGTGTCAATTGTGGATCCAAGCAAGATAAAGATACTGACAGCTTCAATCTTCTCTCCAACCATCATGGCACTGCCTATGAGTCCTGTGGTAAGAATCTTTGTTTTCTTGATATTGAGTCAGAATCCATACTGAAAGCTGCATTCCTTGATCGTTTACAAGTGCTTCTCACTTTCAGCAAGTAAGGTTGTGTCATCTGCATAATGCAGGTTATTGAAGAAAATCCCTCCAATCCTAATGCCACATTCCTCCTCATAGAGTCCAGCTTCTTGGATAATCTACTCAGCATATAGACTGAACAGGTATGGAGATAGAATGCAACCCTGACACACTAATGGAAATATTTAGACCACGAAAATCATCAATCCTGTACATCAGAGGGCTCATTTTTGAAAGAAAAAAAGAAATATTTTTTATCACATTACTGGTTACATCCATCCTATGTGTGATGTTGAAATGTGTTCAATTCCTCAATTTATTTCTCTCACTCACAAACCTACAGGAACTTGCTTACACTACTAATACTAATGTGAGTATGCTGCTCTGCCGTTGAGTTGGAATCAACTCATAGCTGATGCTCCAGCAGGTTTTCAGAGGCAGTAAATGATACAGGAGTGTACTGCTCATCTTTCTCCCACAGAGAAGCTAGTGGATTTGAACCATGTACATCCCTTTGAGTTGGCAGCATGGCTCCTTGCCAATAGGCTACGTGGGCTTCCTATACTGTGAGCATAGTTTTTACTATTCACTGGTTCACAAAACTTGCTTCTCTGTGTTTGAACCTAAAAGTGGAATCTCTAGGCTTTGAGTTATGTAAATGTCCAACATATTACAATAACAAGAAATTATTATGACAAGATTCTTTATAACCATTAGTAGTGTATGAAGTAGTACCTGAGGGCATAGTGCTTTGTGTGCTGGCCGGTTAACTGAAAGGTCATCCCTTTAAATCTCTGCTTAGGGGAAAATGAGGCAGTTTCCACTCATATAAATATTTACAACCTCAGAAGTTGATGCAGCTTAGCCATGATTCAGAACTGAGTTGACATCAGTGCGTTTGGATGTTGGTTTAGTTGTTATGAGTTCTCTTTGATCTGTATCTTCACCAGAACTTAGTTTTGTCACTTTTCTTAATTACTGACAAACAAACTATTGCATAATAACATCTCATTGTGGTCTTAATTTGCTTGTCCCTAACATTAAAATAAATCTGTATTTTCATATGGTCATTAGCTAAGTGGGCTTCCTCTTTTGTGAAATGTCTTCTCTTCCATTTTGACTATTTTCCTGTTGGTTTGTTTTTGTTTTTATTAAACTGAGGAAGGTTTTGTTCAAACATTCTTCTAGGTCTTATAGCCCTGGTCTGCCCACTTGCTATACAGAGGTAATTCGTGATTGCTGTGAAGCTGAATACTGTGACACTGATGTGTCAAATGCAAGAATGGTTACCCGTGGTGGAAAGTTTTGGTCGAGATCCTTGATTAAAACAAGCTTGGAAGCAGGAGTGGCATCCACTTCCAAAATTGCTTGCCTCCAGAAACCCTATGAACCTGGAAAAAGGATGGAAGTCATACAAGTGTCCAGATCTTTCATTCACAGGGTCACTATGAGTCGCCTACGACTCGATAACACTTAACAAAACAACAACAACAACAATGTAGGAGTTCTTTATACCTTTGAAATATTTATATTTATTCTGTGATGTCTATTGAAAATACATTTTTTGTTTGATAAACTTTGTTTCAGTATCTTTTGAAATTTTTTATAACTGAATTTCTCAATTATTTAATTTATGGCTAAGTATAGGCATTTTTCCATCTTGTCTAAAATGTCTTCTATTGTTGTTGTTGTTGGGTGTTATCAAGTCAAGTATAACTCTCACAGTAATGCTATGAACATCAGGTCTGAATCCTGCCTTATCTTGTGCCATTCTCACCAACTCAGATATACTTGCGCCCACTGCTGCAGTCAGCATGTCAATCCTTATAGTTGAGGATCTTTCTCACTGACCCTCGACCTTTCCAAATATGATGCCTCTTTCCAGGAATAGCCTCTTTTATCAACACATATAAAGTATTAGAGATAAAACGTCATTATCTTTGCCTCCAAGAAGCATTAGGCTGCACCTTTCTCAAGACATGCCTATTTGTTCTTTTGGAAGTCCATGGGATATTCAGTACTCTTCTTCAACATAACAGCTCAATTCTTCTTATGTAACCCTTATTCATTGTTCAACTCTCAGATGCACAGCAAGTAAATGAAAAGACAATTGTATGAATCATATGCACCTTAGTCTTCGAAGTGACATATTGCTCAATATTTTGGAAAGCTCTCTGACAGCAACCTTGCCAAAAGAAGTAAGTTTCCTATCTCCTGACTGCTGGTACCAAAGTGTTGATTGTAGATCCAAGTAAGACGAAATCATCATTGACAATTTCTTTTTTTTTTTTTTTACAATTTCAATCCTTTCTCCATCTATCATGATGCTGGATATTGGCCCAGTGGTAAGGACTTTTGTTATCTTGATGTTGAGATGTAATCCATTTTTGAAGGCTGCACTCTTTCATCTTCTACAGAAAGTGTTTTGGGTACTCCCCACTTTCAGTAAACACTGGAATAATGTAGGTTATTGATGAATCTTCCTCAGATCCTTATGCTACATTCTTCTTCATAGAGTCTGACTTAAATAATTATTTGCTCAACATACAAACTGAATAGGTAAAGAAAAGATAAACGCCTGATGCACACCCTTCTTAATTTTGAACCATGCAGTGTTCCCTTGGTCCATTCAGACAACAGGTTAATGGTCTAGGTATAGATTTTGTATGAACACAATTAAGTGTCCTAGGATTCCAATTCTTGTCAATAGTACTCATAGTTTGTTGGTATATACACAGTCAAATGCAATTGCATAGTCAATAATACAAAGATAGGCACTCTTCTGGTATTCTCTAATTAAATCCAGGATAGTTCTGACATCAGCAATGGTGTCACTGGTACCACAGCATCTCTAAACCCAGCATGAGCTTCAAGCAGTTCCCTTCCAATGTACCATTCTAGTTGGTTTTGGATGATCTTCAGCAATATCTTTTATGCGATATTAATGATAAATGATATTGTCTGATAACATCCATACTCTGTTGGATCACTTTTCTTGATAATGGAAACAAAGCTGGACCTCTTCTAGTCAGTCTGCCAGGTAGCTGTTCTCTAACTTTCCTGGCAAAGCTTGCTGAGCATGCCCAGGGCTGCATCTATTAGTTAAAACATAACAATTAGTGTCCCTTCTATCCCTGGGTCTTATTTTCTTCCAGTATCTTCTGCACAGCTTGAAAATCTTCTTTTTTCCTTGGTGATTCCCATATTGACTCAGGGACAATCCAGAGTAGAGCTGCCCCTTCTTGGGGATTCATTATTTCAAGTTTTCACAAGAAAATGCGTGAGTTATCACAAGAGTCCAGAATTAAGGGTGCACAGTGGAGTATACCTGGGGTGGTGGGAGGCGTGTGGGGGGATTGTATACCAAAGAAAGAGGTTTCCTTTTAGTTTTTCCAAGAAAGGAGCAAACTGGGGGGGGGGGAGGCAGGGAGGGCTAGGCAGGGAGAAAAGTGCAACAATGAATGAATGGAAATCCAAAATCTCTGTAAATGCTCGTTAGAATTATTAAAATAAAATTTAAAAAAAGAAGTACATCAAATGGTCTTTATTTAGATGCACCTCTAAGTGCACCTGAATTCCTAATCTTTTAGTTAGTTGCCAACCACTTTAGCATTTTTACCACATCCGGTTTTTAAAGGTGGAAAAAAGAAGGGCACATCAAGCAGGGCATTAATATTTATATCAATGAATACTGAATGAGATGTAGGGATACAGCTAGTTTAAGTTCCAATTTATATAGAACCAGCATGACATGTGGTAAACAAGCTGGGATCAGTAACATCATTTTAGGCATTGTCAACATATAGTT